TTAAGGAATTACTCTTAAATTTCATTACAACCTTGAGAAATATTTAAAAAAATATAGAAATTTCATTTCCAACTGATGGTACAAGCAGTCAATTATTAAGTATTCCAAAATATACCTATCCAACTAAAAAAAGTTTAATATAAAAATAATAGGTAAATACGCGGTAAGAAAAATAGTATGTAAATAATTTTTTAACACTTTTATTAAATGTCTGTTTAACAATTGAGTATGATTAATATTTTCTTCAGAGAATGAAATCCGATATTTCTCTCATTCTAACTTATGGAAAAAAATAAAAAAGTTATTCTCCTACCTATATTATTTTAGACTGTACTGCTTTTGATTACGTACCATTTGATCATTAAGTAAGTAAATTAGAAGTTATATCTATACATTTTTAAACAAATAAATATTTATTTAATAACTTTCCTTCTTAATGGAAAGGCTAGAGAAAGGGTGGGGACTAACACCTGAGAGTTCTCGCACGGGTACGCTAGTACTACTCCCTATATACGTCTGTATACGAGTATGGGAAAGTAAAAGGGAAGCAAACTCTACGAACGGTTTGTTCGTCCGTATCTGTTCTTCTCCCCGCCACATGAAGTCGCAGCGAGACAGTAACGCGTAGTCGTGTCGATTAGGTGTGTTTATTGTAGTGATTAATGGAATAAGCAACTCACGAAAGTTGTAAATTTTGTCTAGGCTCCCGAGTAGCAAACAACAATCCGTCTGTCCCCCCCTCTATTGTCCGTAGCCTCCATATGAGAATTATGCCAGTTCCTACTATTCATAACTATAGTAGAACGTCGATAATCCGAAATTATAGGAGTTAAGGTGTGTTAAGCTGGCACAACCACTATAAACTACTGTAGACAACAATCACATCAAACCAATAAGAGAATTTAGTATTCACGTTCTAATTTACTTCCTCAAAAATTAAATTTATTGTCACAGTTACATTAATGTTACAGTTTATTAAATAAAATTTGTCGTAGCGGCTTGAGGGTTATCCTAGTACGCAAGTCTTCCGTTCAGTTATAACAGAAATAGGGCATAATCAAATAAAACATATTGAAAAATTATTTACTTATTAACTCAAAATTATATTTATTGCTGTTGCCGTTTATAAATAAACATTAAGCCAGTATGACAGTTATGCTCTAATGGCAGTCATTAGTGTACGGAAATTAGAAAGTAAAACTTCTTCAAAATTAATATTCCCCAATTTATCTGACCGAAATCAAGTATCTGCGAATTTGAAAAGAATATTTTGATTTTGGGGGTACCATACATAAGCCCTCATCAACATTCTCAAACATTACTCAAAACTGGCTCCAAACGTTTCGCATTTTTTACGAATAGAGAAAAGAACGGTTAATAATATCACAGGTTTTATTTTGTTAAATTTTGAAAAATTCAAAAGTTAAAAATTCTTTCGTCGTTTTCCTGCAACTATATATTTCAATGATACAGATACTTTATTGAAGTTGTTGTCAAACGGTAAATAATAAAACAGAGGTTCCGTACATTTTGTTTTGCAAAATTAATAGTGTTTGCATAATGTTTGCATGAAGTAATGGCAATTAAAGGATATATTTCCTCGATAACCGCCTGGAAGATTTTTAAAAAAATTTTTCTTGAACAGATCAGAATGATATCAAATCAAAATGGTATCAAACTGCAATATAAATTTCAACTCCATAAGTTAACTCAAAATGGGTTTTAAAAATCGCAATTTTAAGCAAAAGGTGCTTCACTGGCAGCCGTTTTAAATTGTTTATTGTTGAATACACATTTTTATTGTGGTACAAAATTAGTACATAATTCGTACAAAATTGTAGGTTAATTGATTTTGAATGTCTATCACGTGGGTGTGCCAGCTTGACGCAGGTGACAAACGTCAAATGTGATGGTTTGGGGCGCAACTGGCTTCAATGTGCGATCGCGTATTGAAGACAATCTGATCAGCAACCACTTCATCAGTGAGAGTTTAGAGACCTATGTTCTGTCCCTCCTACAAGCTCCTCCTCATGTCACATTTCATCAGGACAATGCCGAACCACATGTGGCGAGAAATGTGCAAGCTTTCTGCGAAAAACAACGGGCATCACTGATTCACTGGCCTGCACATTCGCCTGGCATGTCGCCCATCGAACTTGTCTATGATTTGATCGGTCGACAACGTTCGTTCTGGTCCTCCTGCAGTCACTGTCGATGCTTTGTGGTTAGGCATAGAATACGCGTGGAGGTGTGTTTTCCAGCATCGTATCCAGCCACTCTGTGAATCCATGCCACGATGTCTAGAGGCTCTGATGGCAGCGCGAAACGGCTTCACCCCGAAATAAATACTCAAGGTCAAAATGCAGGCACAGTCCTGTAATTCTATTCGTTTGTTTACTGTAATATTCCTAGCCTTTGGAATACAATTCATTGTAATAGTATATCTCCTTCTTGGTGTTGCAATTTTCACGAATACTAGTGTAGTTTTGACAACGCTGCGTGCTTTGCTCGCTTCTCTATGATTTGCTGCGAATATTGTAATAGTAATGTATTCCTGTTTGTTTCATTTGTCAAAGTAAGAAATGATTACTGCTCCTGACTATCGAAATGAATTCAGATATGCATCACAGGCGCTTTGTTAGAATTGGTTGAATTTGATGTTTTCAAATAATAGCCGAGGCCTTCGTAGCGCATAAAATGCAATACTTCAATATTATATAGCTGTTTCCAGTAATGCGAAAGAGTATGTGTTGTAGCACCACTAGTTTTACATTCTCGCTACCGCTACCGCGGTAAAGAAAAAGTTATGTACTGCTGCGTGAAATACAACTGCTCATTTTCGGCAAAAAACCCCGCATATTACAGGTCCCTGGTAACGAAAAATTGGATAAATCCTGTTGCTAAATTTAGAGAAAAATTCCTCTAACACTTGATGTAGCCAGAATGCATATTTTCTGGGTCTTTGATACCGAAAAAACGATTGACGGCAAAATATCTTTCTGTGTTCAACGCTAGCGGCTAAACCGTTCATCTACTTTTCTCCAAAATTGATATTCTACAATCAATCTGATTGATGTCGGGCCCCCTTGAATTTGAAATCAATATTTTAATTCAAGAGAGTACATGAGAGTACTTTATATGAAGCCCCTGGGACATTTTCAAAATTTTCAAAATAATTTCTATATCGGTCATGAGTACGTTTTGTTTTTGGATAGTGTGAAGGACGTGCAAGAGAATGGTGCAGATCTCATTTTCGTTAAATACCCTAATTTCTCGAAATTTGCAAAAATTCAAAATTTTCGATAATTTTCTACAATATTAAAGATAGAACTTTTTCCTCTCATATTTTTTTCCTTAAAGATAGATTATGAAATAAGATCATGTACATTTTTTTTGAAATTTCTGAAAGTATTATTCGCGTAATTTTGCGTGAAGTATAGCCACTTTTGAATGTCGCTAACCTTTTTTTTTTCTCAGAAACGACTCTATCGATTTTGATGAAATTATGTTATTGAATAGTTTGAAGGAGTTTAAGAGAACTGTGGTGGTTGTGTGTAGGTTGAAAAACCTAATTTTTCGAAAATTAATAAAAATTATAATTCATTAGGCATCTTCCTACAAGTACAATTATGAAGACACAATTTTTACTTTCTCGCTACCGCTACCGCGATAGAGACGAAATTATGTAATGCTGCTCGAAAAAAATGGCGAATTTTCGGCAGAAAAACGCTTATTGCCGGACCTTGGTAACGAAAAGGGAATAAATCCAGTTACTAAATTTTAAAAAAATCCTTTAACACGTCTCTAGCCAGAATCCATGTTTTGTGGGTCCTTGATGCCGAAAAGTCGATTGACGGCAAAACGACCGTCTGAGACGAATTTGTCATTATAGATTTTGTAAATATCACAGGCTACACTCAGCTCATGCTGCGATACGATTTTAATGATTATTCGAAAATATTTTTGCCTAAAAGTTGGTGACAAGTTAAAGTCAACTTACAAAAAATTAGTAAGGGAGGAAATTTCCATTTTTCCCTCCCCGTGGATCCGCGCCTGTTTCATACCATTACTATATCGTAAAAATTGATTGCTGGTTACAACTGGTTGGTTACAGCTGAAGAATCGTTAAATTTCTGAAGAACAACTAATAAACAAAACAACTCTTAAAGAACTCTTCTTCGTTATAACGTATGGGTAGAATGGGTTTCATTTTCATTTATTTTATCTGATAAGGAAGAGTGAGTATTTTAGAAAGAGATCCCTCCTATTCTTTACTGAGTAAAAGACTTTTTAGTTGTGTCTCTGTGAAGGCAATGCGCGAGGCGTAACTAATCTTCTATTGCGAGACATGCGAAGAGCCAGCGGCGCCATCTCTTCTCTCTTGTGCAAAATTACACAAAAGGAATTTGTCCTCGTGTAAACTGTTTTACTTCTATGCTATACAGCCTATGAATGTGTTGCGAAACATGCACCAGCTGCAAACAATATACAATGTTGGAGAATATCTGAGAAGAACGACTCAGATCTATGTGAATTTGAAACGAATCGTTTAATTTTTGTGAAACTTTAATTGAATCCCCTAGGACAGTTTGAAAGTATTCTAAAAGCTTGCTTCTAATTTTTCCTATACATTGTTCACCCGAATGGAGCAGTGTACGCCTAAAAAATTGGCGTCTGTTCGATTTTCATTCAAATTTTCGAAAAATGCAAAATTGCAAAATTTGCGCTGGTACGAGTAGATACCTTAGGCTACATATATTGTCAGTAGATAATGGGATGGGGGAAAATCGAAAATGCAATTCCGAATCAGAAGAATGGTGAATACATTGTACGAGGAAACAGTATGCCCTATTATGTGGCATCTATTTTTTGGCACAATTATTTATTTTATAATTATCATAATTATTTATAGGGCGATATTTGAGCTAAAATGACAATTAAATTTATCTTAATATGTGTGCGTTAAGTGGTAACAATCGAGGCTGTTTCTTTTCTCGCAGCGAAAACTGACTTCTACAGTTTGGGCAACCTGTCGCCCGTGGCCATGCTGCTCTACATGTGGAGCATGGGGGTCGGCATGTGCCGAGGGAACCTGGCCGACCCGAAGTTGAAGACGCTAATCCATTCCAAGGAGAAGTTCGACCTGGTGCTGCTGGAGGCATTCTTCAGCGACTGTCTGATTGGCTTCGCACACCGTTTCAACGCACCTGTTGTGCAGGTAAGCCCAGTGCTTATTGAAACAAATTTTTACAAATTCCGAGGGTAGTTGTACACGTAAGCTTCCGCGACTCGAATCCATAAATTCTCGTCTATCCGGGAGACGCCGAGTCGTCGGCACCCCAGCTAACGACGCGGCGTCTCCCGCATAGCCGAGAATTTATTTGACGGTAGTTGTAAGCTTACACATGCATTTGCATGAAAACCTGGCCTTTAATATTTACTCTTATGAGAGATAACAGCATCACTATTTGCTTTCATTAACTGCAAATCTGATTCCAGAGGACAACCCAAACGTGTACTTTATACTTGGATCCGATCCGAGACGTTACTCAGCAGTTACGACCGAAGACTTGCGAATAGCGGGGTCAGCAACTATATCCGAACAATCTCATTCATAATACGTGTGTGTCTCTTCCGAATATTTCTTGCACGACGGTAAACTATCGTTTATAGAGTGCGACCGCAAATAACAGGATTTATATAATTGTCCAAGACCTCTTTTACGATGGAAACAGAAGAGAAAATTGTGCTAACTAAAATAGATTTTTAAATATAAGCAGCAAACAAAACGTTAATAGAAGAGATTACGTCCAAGCGCCGATAGTCTTCACTCGGTTAATAGGTTTCCGAAACTACAACCAACACGATGCCGACACTGATCGTCCAGTACATTCACTCTTCCTTGTAACGGTACATTCATTGCGTAGAGTGCGAAAGCCTGGGTGAAGCCAGAGACCGCTAAGCTGTCTATTCTAAAATTGATTTTCTTACAGGTATGTCCTCAAAACATGTGCGGTACGCTGAATTACACATTTAACGCGTTGGTATTTAAAATAATTTATTAAAATACTAGGAGTAACACGATAAAAATGACGGATCGATATCATTCTATCAAATTAAAAACTAATTATGCTGAAAAGTAGATAATAGTTTAATTTCTTTAAAAATTGAATACGAGAATTTTTCCATTTGACAATGTCTTTTATTATCTGTATTGTGGGGTCGCAATCCTCTAGGGGTCCGCGAAGCTATTTTTGGGAGGTCCTGAAGGGGCATCAGATGAAATTTTGGAATATTTGCTGCTTTTGCGAGATGAGGTTGCCACATTTCCCGGAGTCGAATTTAGTTTCTGTATTTGTTGGAGCTGCTTTCTCGAAATACAACAGCGTGTGTATAGAAGATTAGGTCCAGAATTTTCCCTAATTGATAGTTGATTTAGTTGAACCCGATAATGCCTTCAGTAACTTTTCCCTAATCACCAGCGTTGTACATCCCTAGCACGTTTCGCGGCCAGGGATAAATCACCTTAACATCTGCTGATCTCGAGTTCCGAGGCGTGCGATGGCCCGCGCGGTTCCGACTCCCTATAGAAACTTGCAAGAGCACTTGCCTCCCCTTATACTACCTGCCAATCAAACTGCGAAACTGAATGTCACGCCGCGAAACCGACAGATCATTCCAATAGCACCACATTTTATAGCAAAACTATCGGTTTTTGATGTATTGTTACTTATGGAGAATTTCCATTCAGAAAATCATTTTTTATAGCATATTCTTAGCCATAAGTAATGATATGCGAAGAAAAAAAGGTTTGATGTTTCAGGTATTCAAACCGCGATTCAATTTCGGAGACAATGCTGGAAGTTATGTTCTAGATAAAAATATTTCAGTGTCAATTTCTTTTAACAATAAACGTTAAAATTTCAATATTTTTACGCAATTTGTACATCTTACAAAATAAAAACTAACACTTTTTGACTACTGAAATGGATGAGCGCAATTTGTTAAGCGGGGGACTTCTTAATTGTTTTCAAGTATTCGCAGAGACACGCAATACACACGGGGTGTATTGCCGCACACGACTTGACCAACCCACCACATTTTATGTAGCTATCTCTACCCTAACTCTTGAAACCACTACGCTTTGAGGTGTGTGAAGTTGGGGAGGTGAATTTTGAAAATAGTAAATATTTTGAGAGTTCTGAGTATCGAAAAACAATTCTAAAGTTCTCTCGAAAAGTTCTGCAAAGATTAAAAAATTATCACAAAAGTTACATTCAAAACTAAAAAAGGGCTGCAGGCAAACGTAGGAAATATAGAAATTTAATGAGAGTTCTCAAAGATGGTCAAAGAGTTCTAGAGTTCTCAAAACAATTCACAAAATTTTTAAAAAAAATTGAACAAAAAATTTCATTTTCCGACCACAGAGCAAAAAATCGTAACAAATATGCATCACGCTTATCAAACCTACGACAAAAGGTCTCAATAGCAGACAGCGGGTAAAGATAGAACTTCTAATGAACGTTTCTCACACGAAGTAAAATAGAGGAGATACCACACAATTCCGGGTTAACTTTAGATGCACCTGAACATTTATACAAATTGAAAAGAAGAGTTCTGGTTCGCGAATGAAGAATTTTAACAGAAGTTCAAAATTACATATATCGTCCGACTTCAAACAGGGGAATTATTCAATAATTTCATTTTCATTTTTACTTTCTCACTACCGCTATCGCGATAGAAAGTTATGTAATGCTACTCCAAAAAACAGCAAACATTTTTTTTCGCAGAAAACTTATTACAGGGCCCTGACAATGAGAAAGTGGAAAACTCCAGATGCCAAATAGAGAAAAATCTTATATCACATGGTGTAGCCAGAGTCCATGATTTGTGGGTCTTTGGTACAGAAAATCTATTGACGGCAAAACGTCCGTCCGTCCGTCCGTGAATAACGCAAGCGGCTAAACCATCCAGCCAAATGTCTCAAAAATTGATATTATACAATTGATCTGGCTGATGTCCCGGCCCCTTGAATTTGAAACCGATATTTTAATTTTGGGGTGTACTTTACATGAAGTCCCTGGGACATTTTTTAAATTTTCAAAAAATGGTTTGAAGGTTTTTGACTATATTTTCTTTGTTAGATAGTGTAAAGGACGTTTAAGATAATAGCGTAGGTCTCATGTTCTTTAAAATCACTGATTTTTCGAAAATTGAAAAAAATCAAAATTACGTCCTACAATAACAATTATTAAGTTAAACACTTTTTCTTAATGAATTTTGTTCAAACAAACAGATCTTCAACTAAGGTCATGTTTTTCGAAAACATTAATATTTTTTGTGACATTTTCTGTCAAACACAGACAATTTTTAATTTTTTCTTAAAATCGACCCAATGTCTTTGATTAAATTTACACCGTAGAGTATAGGACGTTTAAGAGCTTGGTGAAACTATCATGTTCGTTAAAATGTTTGATTTTTCAAAAATAAAAAAAAAAATTGGGAATCTTCCTACAACTACAATTGTGATGGTAAATTGTTTTTTTAATTCATTAATAAATAATATTATCAAAAACATCTTCAAATGAAGTTATGTTGAAGTTTTTGGAAATATGAGTATTTTTTTTATAATTTGGTAAATAAATAAATAAAAAACAAACTAAGATATATCTTTGACTAATACCTTCAGTGTTGTTTGCCGTTCCGACATTAACTGAATGACTTTGTCAAATATTCTAGGAAATGAGGGGGTCAGTGTACAGTGATGTCATGAATATCGGCTTGTTCCCACTCAAATCCTATATCCGGATTGTAGGACGTTATTAACTGCTTCTGGGAAAAAGAGGAAAGGTATTTGGAGGCAGGGAACTGAGGAAACACTATTGAAAGCAGACAGCAGTTACGTCATCGTCTCTCATGTGGTGGTTTACGCCAAAATGATGTCACATCCAGCCATCTCGAAATATTTGTTTCAAAACGAATGCAAAAGGATGGAGACAGTGGGTGGTATGAATAAAAGTAAGCAATTACTCTTTGCTCCGAGTTTTGGAGATCCTACTCACTTTCGTATGAGTAAAGTGGGTGAGCAATTGCTCAGTCTCTGAGCACTTGCTCCATCTCTAAGCGTACTCTCAACTGGCGGGCAAATGCTCAGAATTGGTATGAATAGAGTTAAGCGTTCACTCTCTAGAGTGAGCATTTGCTCCAAAATTTCGGAGGGACCTTAGTAGCAGACTCACGTTTGAAAAGTAAGGTTAAATTAGCCGATTTTTTACTATCTGTTGATATGCAGATGTAGCGGACTAAAAAACACAAGGCGAAATCCTCGTGATGTAGACTATTAGAATCTTTGCCGATTCGAAAAGGACAATGTATGGTTGGTACAATTTTTATCGGCATTTGCTTTAAGGGGCGTTTTCATATTGCATATCTTCTATGTTAATTGGTTATCGCTCTTTTCTACTTGGAATTTTTCGGGGTACTGTTTTTTCATACTTTGTAATGTTTCGTTTCGGTCACAGCGTACCTCCGATAGCTGGCTCTTTTAAAAGATAATTTGATATTTGCTTAGCATTTCGGCAAAAAACTAGCTGGGCCTCTGGCGCTTGTTTTTCGTTACTGCAACTCATATTCGAATTTAAAGAACGAGACAACAAAACATTGTTCTTTATTCCTCACAAATGAGCGCGACGCGCGTAACGTATGTAACCTCTTTGTTGTTCAAGAAACCAATTTTTAAACCTCTTAGCCTGCACTATCACTTGTTCACGACGAGCAAATGCTCGCGAGTCATGAGTAAGTTCTTCGGAGACATACGAAGTTTTTATTCATACGAAATGGAGCTTCTGCTCAGTGTCGCGAAGTAGACTATCTTTGCTCCGGAGCAAGAACTCCTGAGCAAGTGCTCATTTATATTCTTATGACCCAATGCCTCCTACATTAGGATGCCTCCTCTAATGAAGAAGGAATTGGTAGAGATCCATTCCTTTTTCTAGTTGTAAACACCCTGCAATTGTTTCCTTCATTATTATAGATGAGAGAAGATAACGTGAATACAGATACACTTGGATACAAATTTATCTAAGTTTCCCTAAGTTGGTAGTAGCATGGTTCAGAACGGAATTAATTGTTCGCAGGTTGGTAGCAAAACAAAAAACGGGTGTCATGCGCTGCGTTTCCCAAAATATAAAGAATATCCACATTTTGTATTTGAAAAACTGTATTTTTAAGGTATTTTAGAGATGAAGTTAAATACATAAAGTCGTTGTATTTAAAAAAGAAATACTTAAGGTACAGATGAAGAAGATAGTTTAGAACGAGGATAATTTCTTTTTGTTTGATTCCACTCACGAATGCATCTCATTCAAAGAAAAATAAAAGCATCTTTCAACTGTTGAATTTGGATTCTCTTCATTTCTAAATGAGAAATCTATATCATTAATAATGCTCTACAATTATCCTGCAATTAAAAAAAGACATTTATTCGTTATAACACGAACGTTATAGTTTACGTTCATCTACGCCAGTTGACTGTTTCCCTTTGCAGGTTTTATACATTCGCCAACTAGGGGTTTATTGCCTAATGATTTGTTTAAAAAAATAGTCGTTTTGAAAGGAAATTGCATTTTTTGTGTTAGACATATTCTTGTAATCATTTTATTTTTCAAAATGTTGATACATATGGTCACAATACATTACAATAATGATTGTTCATATTTTTCTATTACTGTCAACTACTAATTTACTGTAATTGGCAATTACATATAATATTGCAATACAAAGATATAAAACAAAATGATTATATATTTACAGTATTTTGAGTATTTGAAGTATTTTAAATACGTATGTATTTAGCACATCAAATTAATTTTGTATATGCATTTAAATACTAAATATAAAGTATTTTTCCCAAGCCTGGGTATAAGAGTACTATATTAAGTGGAGATTATGCATTGAGTATGGGAGAAGGTAACAAACCCGTGTAACTACCTTGTAAAATAATTCTAGACCTGATGAAGGCCCAATTACAGGGCGAAACAGCAACCAACGAAAAATAATGTAGAATTATTTCTTCTACAATGATCTAACATCAGAGAAACTAATATCCGTTGCTAATTCGGAGGTCAAGAAACACTGTTAAACCAAATGTAATAAAAACCTATATCATTGAACTACGTAGTTGTAGGAAGATCGCCCCCCAAAAGATTGCACCTTTGCCATTTTCGAAAAATATATCAGATTGCAACTAAAGTGACACCTACACCATTCTCGTAAGTCTACTTTATGCTATTGTTTTTGAGGACATTTTGAAAATATTTTGGTGGCTTTTTGTAAAGTACCTTTAAGAATCAAAATATTCGGTTCAAATTCCAAAGTCTTGAGCCCACATCGATCGGGGAATATGAACCGAATATAAATTATATGTCAGACCTGAAAAAGGCAAAAATAATTTGTGCTCTTTAGTTTGGTCTAAAAAATTAACAATTTCCGTGTATGACGCCCAACGAAAAATGTGTTCTAGAACTTCTTTTAGAACTCTTCGTTCGCGACCAAGACCTCTTCACAAAATTGTAGAAACCGTCCTTTAATTTTTTATAACATTTCATGTAAAACAAAAACTAACCCTGAATTGTATAATATCTCCTCTGGTTTACTCTGTATGAGAAAAGTTCATCAGAAGTTTTGTCAGAACTTATTGTTTGCTATTGAGAACTTTTGTCGTAGGTCTGCAAAAAATCGTAATAAACATACATTCAGCTTATCAAACCGTAATGTATGTTTGTTCATTGACCATCTTTGAGAACTGAGAACTTTTTATATTTCCTACCCTTGCCCTTAGACCTGTTTTGTTTCGAATGTAATTTTTGTGATAATTTTGATTTTTTGCAAAACTTTTCTTGATAATTTTCGAGAACTCTAGTACTCTTTGTTCGTTATTCAGAACTCTCAAAATATTTAGGATTTTCAAAATTTACCCTAACTTTACAGATTTTACGTTTTGAAGTACCCCACCCCCTGCCTCGCCTCTGCCTGTTTGTCACTGACGTCCTCGTTTTCACGTGTTGGCAGTTGAGTGCGTTCGGCGGCGCGGTGTGGATGGGCGACTGGGTAGGCAATCCCAGCCCACCGGCGTACGTGCCCGACCCCTTCCTGGACTTCAGCGACCGCATGTCGTTCAAGCAGCGCCTCATAAACACGGCGCTGGGGGTTCTGGAGCGCGCTGGCCGCGCCTACTACTATCTGCCGGGCATGGACGCTGCGATGCGCGAGGGCTTCGAGGACCCCGACATGCCCTACATCGCAGACATCGAGCGCAAGACCAGCGTAGTGCTAGTCAACTCGCACTTCAGCGTTTCCTATCCGCGCCCCGCTGTGCCGGCCTACGTGCAGGTGGGCGGGCTGCACATCAAGAAGCCCAAGCCCCTACCGCAGGTGAGTGGGAAGAAGGTACTTCTAATGCCTCTGCTAGATCGGCAGCGTATTAAGCGTGTAAATGTAGAGGAGTCTCACTCTAGAATTCATTATTTTTTGTTCCACAATTGCTCTATTCTTTTAGTTTTTCAAAAATAACAAAAATGTGTTTTTTGCTTGCCTCTCATGTCGTTACTACCGGCAATTTGTTCACATTATTGTATTTATGAGTGCATGTGCTTTAAATGTCATATAAAGTTTTTCGAAAACTCTACAGTTTTCTGTGAAATCTAGCTCAAAATTGAGTGTGTTAAATTCCTTAAAATGACATCAAATTAAGTTTTTCGAAAACTCAAAAATTGTCTGTGAAAAAGAGCTTCAAATTTCGAACTTACAGTAGCGCTTAAACGCCATTTTTTAAGAACGGTTCCAAATTTTTCAAAGAAATGTGCTATTTAGGACGAGGTTTTGCTGTTTTTTGATAATATAAAAATAATATTTTCTCTCTACAATTAGGATACCGAAAAATTAAGAAAATGTCAAAAAAATGTATTTTGGACGGCGATATATAGCAGCACACAAGAATATGTAACAAGTTTGAATAGCTAACCGAGACCAAAGGAAATTGAAAACCAATACGAGAAAGACTGTGCCATTCCGTATCAGCCTGTATTTTATATTATAAACTATTATTTGGAGGAATCCAATTACTATTTATTTTTTACTAGCAGAACTATTATAGAGTATTAAGAGATATGGAAAAGAAAGGAAAACCCAGAAAACTAATAGAGGTAATAAAAGGTATGTATGATGAGACTCTGAAGTACGTGAATCTTACGAATACAAAGAGAACAGAGAATGTTAAAATAAATCAAGGGGTTTAGACATGGGTGTCCCCTATCATCTACATATATATATATACTCCCGGGTGTCAAATATATTTTCCAAAAAAAATTGTAACTTATTGTAACCTTTATCATAATCTTGTTGTTAATTCACGTTTTAATGTTTTGTTTTTGTGTTTTTTCTTGTATCAGACATCTGATGATGATGGCTTAA